GATATCTGTTCCGCCAGCTTAGGGAGAGGCAGTAGCAGGAGAGGAGGGCTAGAGCAGCAGAGGCTAGCAGGGCACTTGTGAGTGAAGCCGCAGCTTCAGAAGCCATGGCCACCTCAACACAGTAGTCTACTCAGGCCGGTAGTTCAGGGTCTGTTGGGTCAACGGTTGCACCCAGAGTCAGTCCGCTGGCGTAATGGCAAGCCAGCCTATAGTGTTCACCTCCGACGAGATCGCCATACAACAAGCAGCTTTGCAGGAGGCACAACTACAGAAGGCATTAGGAGAGATCAAAGCGGAGAAAGAAAGGATGATTAGAAGAAGAGCCAGGATGCAGCGGAGACAAACGGACGTTAGTGAGTTAGAGGAGATGGACCTGACGCACGTGACTGATGACGTGAGGATCGTACGGTCCGTCCTGTTAAATGTAGTCGAGATGCAGGACCATCAGACAACCATCCTTCGGGACATCCAACAAAGTCTGGCCTTGTTGGTTGGGTGAGCGCAGGCAACGTCGCCAATGTTCGGGCCTGGTGCCTGGGCCGTTGTACAACCTCCTCCTTTTGTCCCACCGGTGATTGGTGTATCCCCATATGTAGCCCCATCGCCGGTTGCGATCGTTTCTTGGGCATGCCGCTATCAGGAGGGGTATCAACAGATTTCTAAGAACGTGCGTACACATTGTCCAGTGGCAGGATTTTCGAAAACTTGTACACAAAAAATAACATCCAACAATAATGAAACGATTCAAATGACCAGATTAGACACCCATCTCTCTCTCTCTCTCTCTCTCTCTCTCTCTCTCTCTCTTCGTCCACATTCATGTTCTTTGCATTTTTATTATTATTATTATTATTATTATTATTATTATTTTTATTATTGCTACTATTATTGCTGTCAGGCTCGTTTCATTCACGCTTTTCATGTATGTAAACAGCAGCACAACAAACTGGCAACATGCGGCCACACAATACTCAGAGATATGGCAACCAGATAAGAGTTCACTTGCGACCGGCTATGGCGACTCAGCGCCCAACCACTCACTGATCTAGTTTACAGGTTCCTGTACAGATAGTGTTTGCCCAATCTCCATTGCAATCTGATGTCACCACGCAGCCTGCTGTCTCGCAGTCTGTATAGCCGCAGGGCACACAGCCTCAGCAGCTGGTACAACAGCCTGTGTCACAGGGTCCACAACCCGGAGTGATGCAGGGACCGGGACAAACACAGTGGGTACCAAAGACGACCATCGCCGCTCCCAAACCTTTCACAGGGGATAAGAGGGGGGAAGACCTCGGCACATGGTTGAGGGCAGTGCCAGTCTATGTTAGGTGTAAACTTACCTTGCCGCGCGAAGAAGTGCTTGTGGTTGCTTCGTACCTAGAGGGTAGTGCAGCAAGATGGTTGAGTGGTTTAGTGCAGCTTTAGGGGTATTGTCATGACTTCCGCTCATGGGCAGTCACCCAGAAATTGGACGACTTCCTTAAGCTGGTGGAGGAAAGGTGGCATGATCCTCAGGAGGCCCAAAGGGCCACTGACGCGATCCTGACACTGCACACGCGGCAGTTCAAGTCCGTAAGGGAAGCCACCGACGCTGTTGAGCGTCTGATCTGTGTCCCAGGGGTGCGCTATGACCCCCAGGTTCTACTCACCTCCTACCTGAGATGCTTCTCTTTGCCTCTCAGGAACCAGTTGGCAGGTGAGGCCAACATCAATATGCACAACTTTCCTTCGTTTAGCAAGAGGGCCCTAGACCTTGAGGTGAAGATAGGGCATGGACAGGCACCCACTACGGATGGTAGGAAGAAAACACGGCCTCCCAATTGGAAGGCGAAGGGACGCATTATGTTTGTCGATAACGATGGTTCAACCATCGAATTAGACGACAACTTCCAGGAAGGAGTAGGTGCAGAAGCGGGCAGCGTTGAAGCTTCAGGGGGTGGAGTTGTCGCTGTCGTAGCTCAAAAAGGTAAGGCGACCAGTAGACATCGTGGAGGCTCCCGGTCAAGGAGTCAAGTTGACCCCAACGCGCCCCCATGGGAGAAGGCGCGTCTCTTAGAGGACGTGTGGAGAGATCGGTACACACGGTAGGCTTGCATTCGTTGTGGCCAATATGGCCATAATCAGTTCAAATGCCGTAACAAGAAGGTGACCGACAAGATCCCGCCTACGATGGGGCAGGCAGTAGGATCCTCCCATCCCGTTGGTAGCAATGTAGCCAGCAGTTCAGGCACTGCTCCGGAAAACACGTCGGGCCAGTAGGAATAGTAGTTGTTCCTAGTAGGGTCGAGATGGTGGAGACACCCTCACCATCTCGACAGATGGCCCAAGCTACTGACTCCAGCGTCGTCCCGCAAACACGTTCAAACTCATCGAGCCTCTGTTCGATGAATGTGTTTGAGTCCTTAGAAGCTAGAGGAGGAGTGGTCTAGATCAGACCCGCTAGCTTCTTGGACGACCCTAGTCAAAGCCCCTAAGGGTGAGATAATCGTCAGCGAGGTTGTCATTGGTGGCCGCAAGGCCAGGGCCTATTATGACACTTGCTCGACTAGAAATTTTATCAGTCGCGCGTGCGTTGAGAGGCTGCGCTTACAGGGGTGAGTGCAGCGCCTGAGTCGACCTGTGGAGTCGACCGGTGGAGTCGACCTGTGCCAACAAACAGGGCATGGTAGTCAATGACTACCTCCAAGATGTGGAGTGTTGTTTCCCGTACGCGGGAGGGGAACTGAGACATCGCGTCTCGTTCCTAGTTAGTGACGAACTCCCCATGGATATGTTGTTAGGTATGTACTACCTCTCTATGGCACAGCCCCAGTTTGACTGCGAAAAGTGGTCAAACACACTTTGCCAGGTGGAGGGACCGCCAGATTGCACAAGTTCAAAGCTAGTAGTCGGATCGAGTTCCATGGATGCATGTGTGCGGCCGCGTTCTATAACTATTACAAGCAAAATCAGGAGGAGGGTATGTATCTAGTTTATGTCTCTGCTGCAGGCGAGCCGGTGAAAATGCCGCCGGAGATAGAGGGAGTAGTTGCCAAGTACCCTGATCTATTTGAAGAGCCGACAGGGGTTGTGGAGAGGGAGGTCGTCCACGCGATAGAGATTATCCCTGGGTCTAGCATCCCGAAGGGTAGGATCTATCGGATGTCTCTAGGCGAGCTCGATGAGCTTCGCCGACAACTCAAGGAACTCGTAGAGAAGGGTTGGATTTGGCCAAGTGTCTCTCCTTATGGATCTCCAGTACTATTCGTACCTAAGAAGGAGGGTACACTTAGGATGTGCATTGACTATAGGGGCCTCAATGCCATCACTGTAAAGAACAGAGAGCCCCTACCGCGCATCGACGATCTGTTAGATAGAGTGCAAGGTTGTCGGTACTTCAGTAAGATAGATCTGAAGTCCGAGTACCATCAGATTGCAATCCGGCCCGAGGATCAACACAAAACCGCCTTTCAGACCAGGCACGGTCTTGTGGTGATATGCCTTTCGGCCTTTGCAATGCTCCTGGCACCTTTCAGCAGGCTATGAATCGAATATTCCATGACTACTTGGATAAGTTTTGTCATCGTGTACCTCGATGACATACTTATTTTTAGTAAGACTGTCGAGGAGCACGTTGCACGCTTGGACAAAGTCCTCAGCCTCCTGCGACAGCACAAGTTCAAGATCAACGGTGAGAAGTGGGAGTTTGGCCGCACCCGTGTCTTGTACTTGGGTCATGAGATTTCCGCGGAAGGGTTGAAGCCCGATGACGCGAAGGTGGCCAGCATTCGTGACTGGCCGCATCCTCAGTCTGTGATTGAGATGAGATCTTTCTTAGGGATTACCGGCTACTATCGCAACTTCGTAGAGAACTATAGCATAGTTGCCGCCCCTTTGACTGACTGATCTAACTCGCCTTGACACCCCGTGGGAGTGGACTGAGAGATGCGAGGTGCTTTCAGACATCTGAAGCATGCGTTGACGCATTACGAACTCTTGAAACTTCCTGATCCTGACAAGCCATTTATAGTGACTACGGATGCTAGCCCATATGGCATAGGCGTCGTACTTGCACAACAGGAGGGGAAAAAGTTGAGGCCAGTAGAGTACATGTCCAAAAAGATGCCCTCTCAGAAGTTGGCTAAGTCCACCTACGAGAAGGAACTCTATGCGGTTTACAAGGCTCTGACCCATTGGAGACACTATCTCCTTGGGAGGTTCTTCATCCTCAGGACTGATCATCAGACCCTGAGATGGATGAGAACTCAGCCGGTACTCTCTGACGCTCTCAAGCGTTGGATCGAAGTTATTGAGCAGTATGACTTTGAGCCCCAGTATATCAAGGGCGAGTACAACAAGGTTGTTGATGCCTTGTTGCGTAGACCTGATTTCTCAGGTGCGCTGATCACTGAGTTTGGGCTTGCGGACCATGTTACTCAGTCCATGGTGGAAGCCAATCGAGAGGATCTGTTCATGTCCTAGACCATCCGCAGACTCGAAGCGAAGGACAAAGTGACTTCTGCTGAGTTTGAGTTGGTCAACGGCTTGCTGTTCCTCGAAAAGGCTGGGAATAAACGTTTGTGTGTTCCTAATAGGGAGTCTTTGCGTAGTTTATTTTTAGGCGAGTGTCACGATGCCACCGACCATTTTGGGTACAAAAAGACCGCAGCTAATCTGCTGCAGCGGTTTTGGTGGCCCACGATGATGCGAGATGCCCTGCTGTACGTGGAGACTTGTCAAGTATGTCAGAGGGACAAGCCACGTACACAGGCTCCTCTTGGGCTCCTGAAGCCCCTTCCGATTCCAGAAAGGCCTGGAAAGAGTTTGTCCATGGACTTCATGGATACGCTGGTCACCAGCAAGAGTGGGATGAGACACATCTTCGTTATCGTGGATAGATTTAGTAAATATGCTAGATTAGTAGCAATGCCAGAAACAGCAAGCACGGAGTATGTGATCAGAATGTTTAAAGAAAACTGGGTCAGGGATTTTGGTTTACCGAAATCCATTATCAGTGACAGGGATGTCCGATTTACCAGCGAATTGTGGAAGGCCGCTGCTGCAGAGCAAGGAACCCAGTTGCAAATGACTTCTGGGCATCACCCAGAGGCCAACGGCCAGGCTGAGCAACTGAATCGCGCTGTACAACACCTGTTAAGGCATTACATCAAGCCCAACCAGGTCGTACTTTGGAAAGTTGTTGTCGTCAACATTCGGCATTGTAGTCTAGGCTAGATAGGATCTGTCATCAGTAGTCTGGGCACCAAGCGCCAGATAGGATATCAACATTGGTTCTCCATTGATGATGATGACGAGACTTTGCCAGCATTGTCAATTGTGAGCTCTTGGTGTCTTCTTATTTGGTGAAATTCGTGATGCAATTCTGCTGTTGGTTCGAGGTAACGACTATGTGATACTGAAATTCGTGTATATGATGCTGTTTGATTGGTGAAGTTTGCTATTGCTCATCTTCTTTGCACATCCGGCCCCACGATCAAGCGGAGTATCTGCTCTAATCAGTTTCATATCTGATCCGTGGTCCATCAAGACTTCAAAAAAAAAAAAAAAAAAAGCACGCGCATGCGCGCACGAAACCAAGCCAACGAGGGAGTGGGAAAGAGAGAGAGAGAGCGGACCCAATCTCTTACTATGCGCTTCCTCCACCTCCACCCCGTCCCGCCCGTCCCCGCCGTCCCCCCGGCATAGTCAAGTGTAGTATCTGCTTCGATCAGTTTCATATCAGATCCTCCTGCCACACGATCAAGCGTAGTAGCTTTTCCGTTCGGTTCCATATCTGATCCGTGGTCCATCGTGACCTTTTTATTTTAAAAAAGATGAAATTAAGCACGCGGGCTTGCACCAGAGAGAGAGAGAGACAGAGAGAGAGAGAGAGAGAGAGAGAGAGAGAGAGAGAGAGAGAGAGAGAGAGAGAGAGAGAGAGAGAGAGAGAGAGA